CACCAACATCATCCCTCTTCCACCTCTCACATTTCACCTCTCCATCAACTTCACAAAACCCACAAACCAAATCAGGATTATAAAAAAAAACGAACCTTTACTATAAACAAATTCGAAGTCAAATTAAACAATTGTTTAAAGTCAAACTCTAGTCCAACAACCACAACGTAAAGCAATTGTTTAAGTCAATACCAGATTCTTCTTCATGSCTAGATTCACGACCATCACAACYTAAAGCAGAGCCKCATTGCATTCGATAACAAGTATTCTGCTCAATCACTGGCCTTCCACTCCAATCACCTTTAATCCGGGGGTTGAAATGGAGTATCCGAGGCGGATCTTCACCATCAACCGCCTTCAATCCCTGCAATTCCATCATGAACTGCGTCACCATCGCCGTTTTATCATCTCTTTTCTTCGAATCCGTAATCCTTCCATCTTTCTCGGCGTCTGCCCAATGCGGCGTAGCCACGACGGTGATGTGAGATCCTAGCGTTAACCCACACGGCAAAACCAAGATCCGGCTCCGTTTCACGAACTCAGGCTGCTCTCTTCTCTCGACAAAAGGAAGGAGAAATCGAAGACCTAATTTTTTTTCCCACAAATATAAAACGCCGTCGTTTTGATGTCAAACCGCTCAAAAATCAGTTGACTTTGGTCAACACAAAACCGAACCGTTGGCCACCTGTAATCCACGTCACCACCCGTTAACGGAAAACAGATTACGTCTGCGATTTTGTGTAAATTCACCAAATTTTAATAGATTATGGGAGAAAATCAAAATTATATAAAGTTCATAGGGACTTTATCCTAGCTTAATAGATCACGTATTAATAAGCGGGAACTCGAAAGTTCACCTGAGAATTGGCCTTTTTCACTAACAAAAGTATAATGTTTTGTTTTATATGAATAGTTAATAAGCTTAAAAAAGTAGGGATAAAGATAGAAAAATTAATCACAAATATACATTGAAAATACAAAACGTCTAGTAATATGAAACAAAAACTTAACTTTAAAACGATAAGTAATATGAAACGCTAAGAGTAATAAATAATGTAAAATGTCTAAAATTTTAGTCCACGCATAAAAAGTGCTATTATTATCTTTGCTTCGCTTCATAAGTCTGTATATTTATTACTCCCTCCATTTTTATTTATATAACGTTTTAGGAGATCTTTTGTTATAAAATAGAAATAATTACTAAAACAACTTTGGAAAGTAGATTAATTACTAGAACAACTTTTATTTAATCTTGAAACTCAACACAAGTTATAAAAGACAAATAAACCTTAATAACAAGTTTTTATTACGAAAATATCATTCATAATTTGTAAAAAAAAAAAAAAATTAAACATTTGTTTGAAACGCGGCCGCGGAAGCTGCGGAAGCACCGGATCGTGCTCGGCGGAGGTGCGGCAGAGGTGTGGAGGCCGGAATTTAGGAAAAAATCGGATTAAAAATCAAAAGTTGGGAAAAAAACTCAAAATCTTTTGATTTTTTGTTAGAAAAAGATATATGATGTTAGATATATTAGTTTTAGGCAAAATCTAGTTGAAAACGAGTTAAAATACAGTAAAAATGAGCTAAAAAATGGCTGGCCGCCATTGTTAAGGTTTGAGAAAAGCTTGGTGTTTTGTGGAGAAGATGAAAGGTAAATTACGATTTTATCCTTTACTGAATAAATCTACCACTACTATAAATAAGTCTACCACTACTATAACTAAGTCTATCATATATTATAAATCTACTACTACCACGACTATAAATAAGTCTACCACATATTATAAATCTACCACTACTATAAATAAGTCTACGATTGCGCGAACAATCAGTAAGTCTAACGATCACAAAATTAACTCTACCACTACTAGAAATAAGTCTACCACATATTATAAATCTACCACTACTATAAATAAATCTACCACTACTATAAACAAGTCTAAGGTTGTTTTAGTAAAGAAGTGAAAAGATTGAATAAATCTACCATTACAATAAATAGGTCTACCACATATTATAACTCTACCACTAGTATAAATAAGTCTACAATTGCGCAACCATCAATAAGTCTACCGATCACAAAATAACTCTACCACAACTACTAATAAGTCTATCACTCAAAAATAAATCTACCACTACTGTAAATAAGTCTACGATGGCGCGAACCATCAATAAGTCTACCGATKARAAAATTWKSWCTYCSKTKYCRAMKAACAAGTCTACCGATCACAAAATTAACTCTACCACCACTAGAAATAAGTCTGCCGATCACAAATTAACTCTACCACTACGAGAAGTAAGTCTACCACATATTATAAATCTACCACTATTATAAATAAGTCTACCATTGCGCGAACCATCAATAAGTCTACCGATCACAAAATTAACTCTACCAGTACTACAAATAAGTCTACCACATTTTATAAATCTACCACCACTATAAATAAGTCTACCATTGCGCGAACCATCAATAAGTCTACCAACCACTTAATAAATCTACCAATCGCAAATAAATCTACCATCACATGAACGGTAGACTTATTCGCTGCCTCATTAATGATATTTTCGTAAATACTTTTTTCTCTTCAAAGGAAATAAAGCTAAAACGGGTATTAATAGTTTTTTAAGGTTATTTGAGTAATTTTCAAAGAATAGCATTATTTTGGTCAAAAATCAACTTTGTAAGGTTGTTTTAGTAAAACTCTCTATAAAATAAATGTTGTTTTATGATTTCCAAAACAATTTCTACTGCATATTTATCTCCTTTGTCCCTAATTAGATGGATTAAAAAATTTAATACTTAAGAATTTCAACAGTCAGGTAAGAGTATAATTGAAAATTTAACTCTTTTCTTAGTTTGTATGAAAATGGTCAAAACGACATTAAAAACGGAAGGAGTATAAGGCTGGTAGCGTATTAACATTATATATTCAGACACTCAGATATAGATGTTCTTTTTGTATAAAAAATATCACTATAGCATGCTGTATGAAGAAATAAGTGTTGTATAATGAGCACAAGCCTCTCCATGATCCGCCTTGTTTCAAGAGCTGTTGAGCTAATGGGGAAACTAATGAGTACGTAAAGAGAGAGTGTCTATGCAGATTGATGTCTCTGTTTTAGCCGCGAGAATTCCCTTTGCATTGGCTAAGTCTGCATATTT